GAATTTCACCGAAATGATGGCACTTTTGAAATAAATAAATTATAAACATTAAAAGCTCGTGCAACAGCTTATTACAGCTAAATTAACAGTTTGCCTATAAAATACTAACAAATTAATCATTTCTATAAACCGAGCATGTTCACGGAATTAATGGATATCACAAAATTAACGTTTTGTTTGTCGATGATAGTAATTTATAACTAAAATAATGATGGTGTTGCCTACAATTCTTTAAAACTCAATTAACTGTGGTTATGGGCATGTTTTTTTAGTATCAGGTTGAAGCAAAATGGCAAAAACTAGAAAGAAGATGACAAATGAAAAAAAAAAGGCTATAAGACGAGAGCAAATAAAGCGTAGTATGCGTCGAAATCGAGAAAAACCCAAACAAGACCCAGTAGCACAGGAAGAAGTGAGAAGAAAAGATAGAGAGAGGTATCAGAAAAAGAAAGAACAGGGATTAGTTAAAACTAAAAAAGATCATACACCGAGGTGTACCGAGTTGCTGAGGCAACAAAGAAAAATACGAAAATACTGGAAAGAAAATTCTAAAAAATAAAGGGCATAAAAGCAATGCTAAACAGAGCTCAAGAAATTCTAAGAGAAGACACACCACCAACAAGTCTTGCATCGTCAGAAAGAGGGGTCAGAAGTAGCTTAGCAGTCAGGAATAGGAGAGTTTTATTGGAAAATAAGATTCTTAAGAATAAACTTCACCAGTATGAAAATGTAATAGCAAAATACAGAATGAGATTCAGAAGAATTAAGCAAAAAAGTCCACAAAGAGTAGAATAATGAAAAAATTTCATTATAAATTATTTGTTGAAGAAAAAACAGCGATTAAAGTTGTTTTTAAGACTTACCTCAGTAGACTTACAGTTTCTCTATAAAGTCGTGACATGAATGTCTGAGGACTAACATTATTCATGTGTCTGGCAACACCAAACTTATGTACATCAGCTGTCATCGAGTTTCAGTTGTGGAACAGTTTTCCTTTTGTATTTTTTATTGTTTGGATTAAACTGTAATAAATTAAGACGGAACTACGCAGAAAGGTATAAAAATGAGTAAAGTAAATCGGAGTGGCACGCGGGACGTGATTTTTAAAGTTTTGCCGCGATGTTTCGAAGACTACCAAGCTGGACGAATTTTGTGGGATTTGGACGATGTTTATGGGCGAACAGCATCTATGACGGGTATGTAATCGTGTAACTATTTGTTTGTAATCTGCCTGAAGTTACAAATTTACTCAATTTACGATTTTGAGACCAAAAAAGGCATTGTTGCACATTTTTAGGTTAGATTGACATTGTAAATAGGTAATATTGTAGTACGACCATTTCTTCTGATACGTTATTATGGTTCAACTCGGTCAGGTTTTCTAATTTTGAATTAATTGCTTCATGTGAATAAGTTATTGTTTCTATTCCGTTACATATTTTTTTAACTTTTTTTTTTTCAGGAAAATTAGAGAGTCGGGTAGTTAACGAAGGTTTTAAGAATGATGGAAAGTTTGAAACTCCTGGGAAAACAGGCAAGGCCGACCAAATAATGAAATGGTCACATAAAGAACCATGGCCAGATGCTTTTAGTGAAGATACCTATCACTAATTTTACTAACTGCACATTTACAAATTGTTTCTCTAAATAAACTTTTTATATACTATAAAATGATTTTTAGTATTATTTTCTTAACAAGTGTTTTAAAAAACGACGTATGATGATACTTGTGTGTATTGATGATTACCTAACGGCTCTGGTCTCAATGGCACATCAGCGGTAATCACCAACATTACACACTTTTACACTATAAAGTACTATTTTATCTATAATAATTTTATTATGATTCAATTAAATATGCTTGGCTAAACTTTTTATAAGCATAGGTACCTACTATATATAAAACAGAAACAAAATACGACGTGTCTTATTAATTACCTATTTTACTTGAATGAACTGCTAGTATCAAAATCATTTTGGTCCGACTGTATAGGGTTGCTACATGCATACTAGTGGCGCCATCATTTAATGTCACGACTTTATAGACAAACTGTACCTATGAAAAAAAATAAACTATTGCGCGGAAGAAACAAATTCGTTTATTGAACGACACAATGCTTAATCTCTATAAACAATTTATAGAAAAGACTAAAATAAAGATAAGTTATTGCTTTTTTGCAAATCCCTCCTGGATCTTTTTCCCTACAGTGAAAAACCGTGATACTTGCCTCTGTGCAAAACATGCCAATATAGATTTGTTTTGGTGAAATCGGCTTATTAATACCAAATGGTTAAAAAGAACATGGATTTACAACTTGTGAAATCAATATGCTGTGAGGGTAATATGTTAGGAAGCTGTCTAGAACGAGTTTGTAAAGATTGCAAAAATTTTAATATCTTTAATGAAAACGATAAAATAACAAAAGAGAGATGGGTATCTAAGAAAGTAAGCGTTATAGTTAAAGATCAAGATAAGCTTTGCCAAAAAACTATAAAAGAGACTATTATTACAGTTAAAAAAAAATTTAGCTAAACATTTTAATCTACTTAACTTTATGAGACATATTCGTAATTTACCTATACCAGCAACAAAGAGCAATAAGGCAAATAAAGAATAATTTGATTGAAACTCAAGCAATGCTACATTTTGGATTTTTCCGAAAATTACGATTGCAAATACGCAGCAGAGGTAAAATGCATGTGTTGTTTTTTTTTTAATAATTTGACGTGCCCGTGTCCTCATTTTTCTTGATCGATTTGTATTTGATTACCATATTATTAACACTAACCTAACTTAGACTAGTGTGAACTCAATCACACTAGGGTAAGTTAGATTATTGTTCTGGAGCTTAGAAGCATATGGGCGGATGTGCAGGTCGGGCGAAAAATCATTAGAACCTTAAGGTTTTATTTTCACTTCCTTCTCTCTGCATTGTTGTATTTTTCTTTTTGTGGATTGAAAGTTTAGCCCTTATGCTTAAAAAAAATATTCGCACCAAGGCTACGTAAAAGGATTCACGCCTTTATGGTTCAAACAGTGATTTAAAATATTCATCGTAACTAAACTTCCGATATTATGCATCTAAGATTCCTTTAGTAACTTTAAAACGGTTGTAGATATACGGCTTTATGCCTTTTGTTTTAGTAACTTTGTAAATGCATTGGTGGGTCAATGTAAATATAAATCATTATGGATGTGAACTATTCAAAATATGGCGCCAAAAAATTAGCGACATTGGGCATTATCGGCCACGGCGTGTCCAATGACTAACACTGAATCAGTTTAAGTGTAATGAGATACGTTGTGATTGGTCGTTGCGCGATCGTATGTCTGGCCGTCTGTCACTTTTCTCCTTGCAATGCCCATTGTTTGTTTATATTTCGGTGTTTTTGTTTTACCTTCGGTCTGTTGGTGTTTTGTGAAGTGAGAGACACTGAGAAACCTTTAACTTCTGCAAAGTACAATGATCTGATGACTCTTTTGAAATGGGTTCCTATGGAGTTTCATGTCTACTATAGAAATCTTACTCATAACGGAAATATTCCCGACTTTCCAGCAAGTGACTAATTAATATATAATCGGCGTCAAAAAAATTGTACCTCTTAGAAAATCACTTTCAAATGTCATTAACTTTTAATATGCACATTTAGTCACATTTATAATGATTTTATTTAAAATGTTACTTAAATGACTTAATAAAAAACATTACTTTTCATTATCAAATAAAACCTAGTGCAACAAATAAAGTGTCACAAAAATTCAATGCAAATTTTGCTACCATGAGAGTCGTTTGTTGCGCTTCCATGTGTTGGTATAAAACGGTCCACACGGAGTCAATGTGTGTCTCCTCACCGGCCGCCAGATCAGAGTTGCAGTAGAAGGCGCGCTCTCCACCTCGCGCCCAGTCCAAGCAGGTGTCCCTCAGGGCAGCTGCCTTTCCCCGAGCTTATACGCGGCCTATGCTAACGACGTGCCAGCGCTGGATGGCGTCAAGCTCGCTCTGTACGCGGACGACACCGCGTAAATCAGCTCATCGATGAACGCCAATCACGCCGCCACCAAACTAAAACCCACCCTAGACGCCCTCGGCCCGTGGCTGGAGAAGTGGCGCCTGCGCGTCAACGTGGCCAAGACGCAGGCGATGGTCATCGGACGAAGACGCCGCCCCCCACTACCGATCACACTCCTAGGGGAGACAGTCCCATGGGCCCCCAGCGTCAAATACCTTGGAGTCACAATTGACGCCCGACTTCGGATGAACACCCATGTTACCAACACCATCTCCAAAATGAAGGCAGCGCGCGCACAGCTGCGCCCACTACTTCGCAGCCAGCTACCCATAAAGACAAAGGTATCCATATACAAACTATATCTACGCTCCATCCTGACTTACGCGTCCCCGGCGTGGTACGCGCTGGTCGCTGAGTCTCACCGGAAACGCCTCCGAGCCCAACAGAGCATCACCCTACGCCACATCGCCAACGCCGGGCGCTATGTCAGGAACACAACACTGCAGCGAGACCTAAAGACAGAAGCCCTGGATGAGTTCGTCAGCAAACTTGCCACCAAGATGTTTAGCCGAGCGGACCATTCCACGCACGCGCACCTGCGCGACATCGCGCCAGCGTACGTCCGCTCCCAAACCCGCCACGACAGACCGCTCCCCAGGGAGCTCCTGCCTCCACCCGAAGAGACACCCTCGAGTTCCCGCCCGCAACCACTGCGAGCGGTTGAGCCCCCGCCACCGGACAGGCACTAGCCCCGCCCGCACTGCCGCGGGTGGGCCCAACCAACTGAAGCGACAATCCACATAGACAAGACTTTCCACGGACATGACAACTCCACGATAACCAATATCCTAATTTGATTGGCCCTAATCCCCTCCTCACGCTAAGTCCACCGCCTGCTCGCTGGTCGCTCACTGGGCCTCCCCCAAGGGTCTCACCCGGTAGGCTTGACCGCGCCGAGGGCGGTGTGTGAAGACGTAGAGAGGGGGGGAATGGACCCCATCGACCACTCTGTTCGATACAGAGTGCGACCCCGCTACCTCCGTAATGGAAGAAATTTCAACATCGGATTCCCCGCACGCCGCTGCGCCTTCGGCGCCTGCGACGCGCGAGAAGATGAACTGCAATGTGTGTCATTCGCCAATCGTTGAAGAGGACACACGCACAGATTTTTCTGAAGAAACATCACCTCTAAGATGGATGAAGCTGATGAAGCCGCTCAAGTGGTTGCACTACACTAGATCTCAAGTTAATTTTAAGATACTTTTTGTACATTTTACTTTGTAAATTATCTGTTGTTAATAAGGACTTATTTACGGATTTTTATTATTTTTTTCATTTTAATGTTGTTTGTATAATTTTATTTAAATAAAAAGGTAAATTTTATGGTTCTTGGATACTTTTTTTTTGTTACCTTTGTAATGATACACAACACTATTCTCTAAATAAGGTTTAAGAATTTTTGAAGAAGATTTTTAAAGGTGCAATTTTTTGACGCCGCCGCCCTGTGTTATTCGCCAGTAAATAGATGAATAATTAAATATTTTAATTATCTCTCATTTTCTCATTATTATTAAATTAATAATTATCGTTTATTTATGGAATAGTTTTTATGTTATGAGACGTCCGACTTTTTGTCAAAAGAACCACAAGTTAATAAATTAACACAATAAAGTCGCATTTGGACAAATACCTCACATTAAATTACAAAAATTGGAGGCATAAAGGCGTATGGGTATATACTACTCAGTTGAACAAATACATTGAATAATTTTAGTGGCATAAAGGCGGATGTCATCATTTATATTACAAAAGTTAATTTTTCACTGTGTAGAAATATTGTTTTTAAATTTTAATTAAAAAGCTAGTTAAGCTACTTATTCAGCTAAGTAAATGCAAAGAAAACATTAACGTATTGTTTGTAATTATTGAAATATTTGCCGATAAAATTGAATTTTTATTTTATTCTGTCCTGTAAAGTTGGCAAAATCAACATCCGCCCTAATGCTTCTGAGCTCTAGTGTTCTGAACTCAAAAACCTAAGAATATTTATAATAGGTCAACGATTCTTATGTTTTCGAAAATATGCTATCTTTTTTCAGTAAGGTTGAGGAATTTTATCGTCATTGTATAGTTATCCACGTTTTCGCAAAATCCCTTTTATTTGTGAAATTGGATTTATCAAATCATCCTACGACATAAAATATACATCACTAGTGGCCCGTCTTGCTTCGCTGCGGTGTAGACTATAGTTAAAGTTTCATTTTAAACACTAAAGATAAATTTACTTATTTTAAAAAGAATTCTTAATTACTTATTAATAATATTACCAATATATTAAAAAACAATTTTCTAAAAAAATCTTAAATTAATTCATTAATCCCACAAAATTTTCATTTTCAAATCAAAAAAAATTACTTCCGGTTTGCCACGAAAAACGTTTCAAAGCGAGTAAATATGCGTCGGATGAGAGACAACTGACGAGTTAAAAGTGTATGGCACGTGTGACGAAACAAACAAACAGACGTATATAAGTTTTCATGGTTGTAGACCCTCTTGCCTTTCGGGTTGATACGAGCACTGGCCCCGCATAATCCACACCATATCTCCTAAATGGATAAGTTGGTGTGATTAGCTCTGTAGGTAAATTACCTATAAGTGGAGTGACGACTTTACCTTTTAAGCGTTTACAAATAACACATTCATGTATTAATTAACTTCTTTGCGAGATCATGCCCTCTTACTGGCCACCAGCGTTCGCGCAACGCGCACAGCTTTTAATCATGCTCCACCATGGTGTTTTTAGAGCTGATACTACTAAGACTAAATTACGTGTGGTTTTTAATGCTAGTGCCCCGTGCACTATTGGAAAATCGCTTAACGATATTCAGATAGCGGAGCCAGCAATATAAGGCGACCTGTTCGTTTTTTTATTGAGATTTTGGCAGCATAAATACACAGCTTGTAATTCCAGACCAGAGGGATTTACAACTCATACTTTGGCGTCATGACTCATCCCAACCCGTCGGCATATACCGTTTAAATACAGTTAGATATGGCAATGCATCTTCAGCAAATTAAAATTGTCGTTGCTTAAAGCAATTAGCGCCGGTCTGCGACGTCCAAAGGGTGATAAATGACAGTTTTTACGTCGACGATATGGTCACGGGTCATGATGATAAAGGACATTGGGCAAAAATGTATGGACGCTGCACCCACGTCCGCCACGCCTTAAACTAAATTTGTTTGAAAGGTATCATAATCATGATCATCTGTGCCAAAAAGCATCAAATTCCATCCCGGGGGTCTTAATTATCTTAGTTGTTTTAAGTTAAATAAGTACAAGTACTATAACGAACGAACATTAATGAAATAATGGAATTAATTTAGTTAGTTAGTTCGACACTACATAGGGGGCTCAGGTATTATGGGAGTACTTTACAAGGTTCAAGGGTGCCCCCTTATGCTATTCTGCCGCACTATAGTAAATCCAAAAATCCCCGCATGGGTTGGGGTTTTTTCGAACATTTTGTTCGTTATACAAAGTAAATTGGCTCCTTTGTAAAACGGAGCGACCACAAATCACCCAAACTTGTCCACGCTTCGGAGAAAACATGATTCCAGTTCATCCATACTAATTGACAAAACCGATAATCGTGTTACAATGTCCAAAGCGTGTTAGATAAAAATCAATCAAGTAAAAGGGAGCGCACAATCACAACGAAGTAAGACAAGTCGACTATTTGCAACTGCAAGTCCTTCAAACCCTGTAAACCTTTTTGAGGTGGTGGTGGTGGTAAGTGCAAGCGCAGGATAGTCGGAAGGCTTTTCTCATATAAGGTTGTATAGGACGAAAATGCATATATTATTATAGTTACTAATAATATAGAATAAAGGTGCTATAAAATTAATTTATTTAGCTACTTAAATATGTCCATGTGTCATATCTTTTGACTACCAGGATATTTTTTAAGGTGTCATATCTTTTGACTCCCAGGATATTTTTTTACGGTGTCCTAATAAAAAAAGGCTAGTTTTTCATAGATCTATCGATTCATACTAATTACATTGTTGGCGGAGCTGGGTGTGTTTTGCCCATTGTCCTTTGCGGCAAAATCGGCTGTATCTTTTGATTGCTTTAGCTTAGAAGTTTGATTTTTTCACAGCTCCAAGGGACAGTAGATCTGAGTATTAGATATGAATTTCAGTTTGATACCTCCACGCGTTCCTGAGAAAAACGGTCTTGACAGACGGACAGACAACAAAGTGGTCCTATATGGGTTCCGTTTTTTCTTTTGAGGTACGGAACCCTAAAAACTATCTGTTATAATGTCAACATTACAAACTTAGACCTATACCGATTGAAGACACGAATATCTCCAAGGATTCCCATTTATGTGGCAGCTAGAGGCAACATCGAATGATATTAGTAATAAGTGAAGTCAAAATGTAGCCCGAATTTGACAAAGCAAATCGCCAAAAAAAAAACAAATGGGCGTGGGTATGTAGGAAAAGAGAAGAATTGTTTTCCTCTGATTTTTCGAACTATATTATATTTTTATAGGACCTAGGTATTTTGTCTTATTATCTGTGCGATACCTAATATCTACACTAAAATATAGTCGAAACCGGATATAACGACATTGAAGGGACCATATTATAACTTCGGACGTTATGCCCGATAGTTGTTATAAGCAATATACACAAGTACTCATATTATCGTCATGTTTGTATGTAGCATGGCTATAGATAATGAATATAAGCTTGTTTTCAAATAAAATATTGAAAAGAAATGTAAAAAGTTTAAAAAGTTTTCTATGAAAAAATAAAGTACATACAGTATATTTTGTTTTGCTGGAACAAGTAAAACGGTTGGTCGTTATAGCAGATCAATATCGATATATGAAATTTATCGATATTCATCGACTATAAGCCGTTTTAAGCGGTATTTCGCTACATCCGGTGTTGTTATAGGCGGTTTGTTTACTTAAGGATTTATATAGGGTTTCGGTCGGGACCTTGCCAATTGGTCGTAATAACCGACCAGTCGTTAAAAACGGTATCGTTATATTCGGTTTTGATTGTATATTCAAAATTTAGATAACAGATTAAGTTTTGATGATTCCTTACCTCAATCGTCAAAAACGGAATCCTTATAGGATTACTCGGTTGTCTGTCTGTCTGTATATCACAGTCAAATAAAATTTCGTACATGATGTATATCTGTGACCCGAACACGGACGAATAAAGTAAATAAATAAATTCTTAATATGGAGATAAAAGGGCTCAATGTACACATTGTTTGTTTTTCATTTGTTTCAAATATATTATTTTACAAATGTAAAATGAATAGTTTAAAAATTATTTATGAAAATGGTACTCTACAAGTACGTAGGTACTAAGTGAGTAGGTTCGTGTCAGTTTATAGTATATTTTTCTCTATTCCTGCCAATAGAAAATATAAGTTTGTCTGTTATTGAAAACTCTGTTCGTTCTGTGATTATAATATGTAACTACTGGCTATGCCCCGCGGTTTACTACGGATATTTTCCCGCAGTAAAACCTAGCCTAGCCTTGGTAGACTATGTGTTAATCCAGGGTGTCAGCTTACACTATACCAAATTTTATTAAAATCGCTCCAGCCGTTTGGACGTGAAAATGTTACAAACATACACAGTCACACACTCATAAACTTTCGCATTTATAATATTACTGTGATGTATTCTGTGGTATTTATTACATTATGTTTAATAACGTGGCTACTTTCGATCGAATAGACGATCTTTTCTATTTGGGAAATGCAATGACTGGAAATATTTTAGGCTCGTTAATTTTTACATCCTACGTTCACTTGAACTCATCCCTGTCTGCGATTTTTTTTCGTTTTTGAACTGACTGGTGACTGCCTTTTAAATTAAACTCAAACGAGACTACATGTAACATGTTGTAATGGTGTGGCATAACCGCATCTGTCCTCTTTATTTATTACCTTCTAGAGGAATGGAGTTATAGTTGTTTTTTTTATTCCCATAGTGATTCTCAATCCAAGTAAGAAAAATATATGTCTGGTCCTTTCAGACATTTTACGTGGTTGAGTAACAAACATACAAAAACAAATTTTCACATTTATAATATTTGTAGGAGTAGGATAGTCAACCTTTTTGGCCATCGTTAATTATAAAATGTTCGTTTAAATTATTTTTCAGTCCAGCGGAAATTTTTTAGCAGTTTACATTGTCCGGAAGTTTTATTCATGTTTAAAAAAAATATGAAATGCCTATTTACATAAATAATATAATAAAGGAAACCCTGAGAAGTGCAGGTTCAACTGTATTTTATAGCAATAATGGATTTTTATATTTATAAAATGTTTCTACTGCCAGTGGCGGCGCTAGACCACATGTGGACGTTGGCGACATCAAGTTCACAATGCCTATTTTACTTCGCAGTAAAAAACCGTTAAATTAAGTGAGCCAAATTATAAAATAACGTATGAGTAAACGAGTTATTTTGTTGATAATCAAATGATGACAAAAAATAATTACAAACATAGAAATTAAAATAGTCGAACTTTTTGGCTTTGGCCTCACTGTTTTTTTCAGGATTGTGTCGTAGCTAAGACTAGCCGCTATTTCAGCTTCGATTGACAGAACTGACAACGCCGATAGTCTGTTTTGGCTCATCGTGCTTTTCAAATAGGTCTTTATCAATTTTAAGTTTGAGAAGCTTCTCTCAGCGGAAGCTGTACTGACCGGAATTGTGAGCATGATTCTAATTGTAATGTAAACATTTGGATATACTTCTTCTAAATTATTTTCTAAAATGCGATGGGTGAGTTGTTTCGCGTCGTTGATAGAGTCTAGTGAATTAAATTTTAAAAGCTGAAGTTCTTCATATAATTCGAAATCTGTATGTCATTGTTTTCGCCTTCCCGAAGTATTGTACCTAAATCATTACAATGTTTGAGAACATCCTCTTTTGGTATAGATTTAAAATAATTTATGTCATAAATAAAACCAAATTCATCAAAATATTCATTGAGCGCTTAAAATCTACATTCGGTATCGACTATTATAGCATCTATCATTGTGTTAAAAAAATTGATTCTGAAGTGCATTTCAGGAGATTCAACTGGTTCATCAGTATGTTCGTAACTGAACATTCGGTTTCTCCTGGCTATTCTTTTTTCCTTAAATTGAGACTGAATTCTCTTGGTTGGATAAAGCCGTTTCAGCCTTTCTTTTCTTTTTGACGAACCGGATTCCCATTTTCTCCCTAAATCTGTCTCTAGAGGGTCCTCCAGACATGATGTCCTAAAAATATTTTTTATCTATTATTTGTCAAACTTGTTGTGGGAAATGAAAAAAAATCGACTCTCCATACAAAATTTACGAGTCAGCTGCCAACTTTGTATGGAGAAACGAAATTGTTTCCTTAATTTCCGACAAACAATTTGTTTGACAAAAAATGTTCAGGTTGATGGTCTGAATCTATGGTTTTCGTATTTGCACTTTATCCAGGTCCATCCAGTATATGTATGTACGTATATGTGTATGTAAATGCCACAGATCAAATATTTTTATTTTATTCAGTCACTAAGAAGGGAAAGGCAAGTACTTATTTTGTTAAATACGTTTGCAGGAGCAACTTGTTATAAGCGAGGTTTTTTTATGTAGAAGTGAAATAATTTGTTGTACTATTGTTAATATTGCTGAGGAGCTCGATGGCGCAGGTAGATAGCGCGTTCGGCCTGCGATCGAGGAAGTTAAGCAACTTTCGCAATGGCCGGCCATTGGATGGGTGACCAAAAACTTATTATCTTAAGCTCCTCCGTGCTTCGGAAGGCACTTAAGCCGTTGGTTCCGGCTGCATCTGCAGTCGTTAGCACCCACCAAGCCGCACTGGGCCCGCGTGTTGGGTCACGGCCCGATCTCCCTATTCCATCCATAGGGAAGGCCTGTGCCCCAGCAATGGGGACATTAATAGGCTGGTGATGATTTCATATTATTTTGTATTGAAGGAACACCGCACGAGATGTGTGATAAAATAACTCTGTGAAAATACTTAATTGTTACGAATTTTGACGCATACAAAACATACTCGAAGGCAATGATCGAAAGGCAAAATAAATTAGCTGACTCGTAAATTTTGTATGGAGAGTCGATTTTTTTTCATTTCCCACAACAAGTTTGACAAATAATAAATAAAAAATATTTTTAGGACATTATGTCTGGAGGACCCTCTAGAGACAGATGTAGGGAGAAAATGGGAATCCGGTTCGTCAAAAAGAAAAAGAAAGGCTGAAACGGCTATATCCAACCAAGAGAATTCAGTCTCAATTTAAGGAAAAAAGAATAGCTAGGAGAAAACGAATTTTCAGTTACGAACATACTGATGAACCAGTTGAATCTCTTGAAATGCACTTCAGAATCCACTTTTTTTTAACACAATGATAGATGCTATAATAGTCGATACCGAATGTAGATTTTAAGCGCTCAATGAATATTTTGATCAATTTGGTTTTATTTATGACATCAATTATTTGAAATCTATACCAAAAGAGGATCTTCTCAAACATTGTAATGATTTAGGTACAATACTTCGGGAAGACGAAAACAGTGACATACAGCCTTTTGAATTATATGAAGAACTTCAGCTTTTAAAATCTAATTCACTAGACTCTATCAACGACGCGAAACAACTCATCCATCACATTCTAGAAAATAATTTAGAAGAAGTATATATCCAAATGTTTACATTACAATTAGAATCATGCTCACAATTCCGGTCAGTACAGCTTCCGCTGAGAGAAGCTTCTCAAACTTAAAATTGATAAAGACCTATTTGAGAAGCACGATGAGCCAAGACAGACTATCGGCGTTGTCAGTTCTGTCAATCGAAGCTGAAATAGCGGCTAGTCTCAGCTACGACACAATCCTGAAAAAATACAATGAGGCTAAAGCCGAAAAGTTCGACTATTTTCATTTCTATGTTCTTTATCTATATATATAAAACTCAAGGGTGACTGACTGACGTAGTGATCTATCAACGCACAGCAAAAACCACTGGACGGATCGGGCTGAAATTTGGCATGTAGGTAGATGTTATGACGTAGGCATCCGCTAAGAAAGGATTTTGATCAATTCTACCCCCAAGGGGATAAAATACGGAATGAAAGTTTGTATGAAACTTTGTCAATTTTAAACCGATCGGGCTGAGACTTTGCATGTAGGTATAAGAATAATCATAGATGAATCTCATTGTGTATAATACAAGCCTGTGAACAAAAACTGTAGTCTACACTTCAGCTCTACACCGAAGCGAAGCGAGGGCGGGTATAGTCAACAATAAAACTCGTTTACTCATACGTTATTTTATTATTTGGCTCACTTAATTTAACGGTTCTTTACTGCGAAGTAAAATAGGCCTTGCGAACTTGATGTCGCCGATGTCCACATGTGGTCTAGCGCCGCCACTGGCAGTAGAAACATTTTATAAATATAAAAATCCATTATTGCTATAAAATACAGTTGAACCTGCACTTCTCAGGGTTTTCTTTATTATATTATTTATGTAGGTAGGCATTTCATATTTTTTTAAACATGAATTAAACTTCCGGACAATGTAAACTGCTAAAAAATTTCCGCTGGACTGAAAAATAATTTAAACGAACATTTTATAATTAACGATGGCCAAAAAGGTTGACTATCCTACTCCTACAAATATTATGAATGTGAAAATTTGTTTTTGTATGTTTGTTACTCAACCACGTAAAATGTCTGAAAGGACCAGACATATATTTTTCTTACTTGGATTGAGAATTACTATGGGAATAAAAAAAAACAACTATAACTCCATTCTTCTAGGAGGTAATAAATAAAGAGGACAGATGCGGTTATGATGCCACACCGTTACAACATGTTACATGTAGTCTCGTTTGAGTTAAATTTAAAAGGCAATCACCAGTCAGTTCAAGAACGACAAAAATCGCAGACAGGCATGATTTCAAGTGAACGTAGGAAAATTAATGAGCCTAAAATTTTTCCAGTCATTGCATTTCCCAAATAGAAAAGATCGTCTATTCGATCGAAAGTAGCCACGTTATTAAACATAATGTCATACCACAGAATACTTCACACTAATATTATAAATGCGAAAGTTTGTGAGTATGTGACTGTGTATCTTTGTAACTTTTTCACGTCCAAACGGCTGGAGCGATTTTAATTAAATTTGGTATAGTGTTAGCTGACACCCTGGATTAACACATAGGCTACCAGGGCTAGGCTAGGTTTTAGCTAGTAGTTACATATTGTAATCACAGAACGAACAGAGTTTTCAATAACAGACAAACTTATATCTTCTATTGGCAAGAATAGAGAAAAATATACTATAAACTGACACGAACTTACTCACTTAGTACCTAAGTACGTAGAGTAGAGTAGAGAGTACCATTTTCATAAATATTTTTTAAACTATTCATTTTACATTTGTAAAACAACATATTTGAAACCTTCACATTGAGCCCTTTTACCTCCATATTAGGAATTTATTTATTTACTTTATTCGTCCGTGTTCGGGTCACAGATATACATTATGTACGAAATTTCATTTGACTGTGATATTCAGACATACAGACAACCGAGTAATCCTATAAGGATTCCGGTTTTGACGATTGAGGTACGGAATCATGAAAACTTAATCTGTTATCTAAATTTTGAATACATTTTAGTATAGAAATTAGGTATCGCACAGATAATAAGACAAAATACCTAGGTCCTATAAAAATATAATATAGTTCGAAAAATCAGAGGAAAATAATTCTTCTCTTTTCCTACATGCCCACGCCCATTTGTTTTGTTTGGGATTGGCTTTGTCAATATTCAGGCTATAATTTGACTTCACTTATTCCTAATATCATTCGATGTTGCCTCTAGCTGTCACGTAACTGGGAATCCTTGGAAATATTCGTGTCTTCAATCGGTATAGGTCTAAGTTTGTAATGTTGACATTATAACAGATAGTTTTTAGGGTTCCGTACCTCAAAAGGAAAAAACGGAACCCATATAGGATCACTTTGTTGTCCGTCCGTCTGTCAAAACCGTTTTTCTCAGGAACGCGTGGAGGTATCAAATGAAATTCATATCTAATACTCAGGTCTACTGTCCCTTGGAGCTGTGAAAAAAACAAACTTCTAAGCCAAAGCGATAAAAAGATACAGCCGTTTATGCCGCATATTTTCGAAAGTCGCACGGGAATAAAAACCTACAGGGTACTTCCCATGAACTTAGAATCTTATAATTTGGTACGAAGTAACGTCTTATAAAGGAAAAATTGCGAAAACCGTAAATTTTTAGTTACATCATATAATAAAAAATATTTTTGAAAATTTTAAAGTTACTACCTCTTTTTTTTTGTTTCTTAGGTTTTCACGCACATCACTCATTAAATAAAACTAGTTTTTACGGATTAATGCACGAAACTTTATTTATTTATTGACGTTACTTCCTCTTTTCTCATGAACGCGTAGATGTATTAAATCGAAATTCATATAAAATACGAGGTCTATAATACCTTTAAGCTGTAACAAAATCAGTCAAATGGGTAAACTTTTACTTATATACCTACAGGTTTGTACGCAACCCTCGGTGCGCCAGACCGACTCGCACTTGGCCGGTTTTATTGTCGTTTCTTTGCTCATCTGGGGTTTTTACGTGAATGCGTAAAATTGCTATTCTGTAGAACGAACTCACTTTTTATCGCGAAATCCGCCCACAATGATGTTTTTTATTTTATTTGAAATTAGTGTTCTAATTTTAAATCACACACATCATCATTATGAGGTGAAAAATGAGTTCCTTTTTACAGAATAGCACTGAGTGCTCAATACTTTACCGTGCTATAGATATAATCCTACCTTTGAATTTTTGTTAAAGAGGTTTTTTGTCGGCGACATTTGATACAAATTATATTTCGCATTTGAGTCTTTTATCTTGCCTTTTTCTTGTATAAATGTGATTATTTCTACCTATTGGGTGTACCCACTTCAAACAGTTTAAGTTGAGTGGTATCATATAGATAGGTAGGTACTTATTCAAAAGGTTTTCCCATCTTGATTCCTGTGCTCGTTACTTATTCACGAAATGATTGTTAAGTGTGTACAAATGTGATTTGTTTTGTGTGATTCTTGTACAAATGTGATTATTTCTACCTATTGGGTGTACCCACTTCAAACAGTTTAAGTTGAGTGGTATCATATAGATAGGTAGGTACTTATTCAAAAGGTTTTCCCATCTTGATTCCTGTGCTCGTTACTTATTCACGAAATGATTGTTACCTTTGCGTGATTAGTTAATTATGAATCTCTGGGGCATATACAGACATTGTTGATACGGATCAGCTTGAGCAAATGGAGCTCAATGTTGATGTATTAGTAGGTAAGTTATGTTTATGTTATTAGCAAACTTAATAATGATAAAGCTCGCAAGTGAGGTAGAAAAGACACTTGAGCGTTATTAACTTAATACTGCTGATGTTAGTAGTATATCTATTGTCAGAGGCACAGGTGGTTTATTACTAAATATTTATAATACAGAACGAACATTTAAACCTTATTGTATATTTGTAACATCACCATCATCAGCTTATTAATGTCCCCATTGCTGGGGTACAGGCCTTCCCAATGGACGGAATAGGGAGATTGAGCCATGATCCATCACGCGGGCCAAGTGCGGATTGGTGAGCGCTTACGACTGTAGATGCAGTCGGGACCAACGACTTAACGTACCTTCCGAAGCACGAAGGAGCTCGAGATAGTTAATTTTTTTGGTCACCCGTCCAATGACTGACCTCTGCGAAAGTTCCACGAACGGCTAACCACTTGCGACATCCAGCTCCTCAGTATATTTTTCTATCTTCAAAAAATGATTTTCTTTCGTATTTCTTTGATTTTCGGCGGGGAGGGCTGGCTACACGAACAAAAATTAGCACTTTAAAGTTCAATATTTCGCAAACATATGCCTAAATCGAATAATAGGCTAAGAAACTCGTAGTTATTTTAAAGGACCTATTCAACGATACCCCACAATATCAAAAACTAATGAGATGAATGACACTTATTTTTTCTTTAGTCAATCAACCAAAATATGACAAATATAAAGCGCGTCAAAGTTTAAGTAATCAAGCGTAAGCGATGATAACGGGGGGTCGTGACGTCACTTCTAAGTAAAAATTGTACCAAGACGTGACGTCATGCGACATTTCAAATCAAGAAATCTCTGTAATTTTTTGATTTAGTTAATAAAGAAAAAACACCTGTTTAATACCTTTTGATAATCTACCTGATAGACGAAGGAAAAAGTTGTTCACTTTCCCTATTAGACCCTTACTTTATTTTATTACAGCATACACATGCAAAGGCAGTTTTTTGTCCACTTCGATTTCACTGCGAAATTAGCTGTTTTTTTCCTGAGAAATTAAATACGTTGGGTCGCTGCTTGCTACGAGTGGATGGTTGCAGTGGAGAAAATTGCATTACACGCCCGGCAGAGTGAACCGAGCGAGACGCGGAGTGTTGCTGGTGTTACTAATACAAGCTATATTTACTAATATTCAGGTAAATTTATATCTATTTGCATACAAATTATCACATGATAAGGGTGGTTTTAACCTATTTTATTCAGACAAGGATCGTTCGCAAAGTGATCTGGCACAATTAATATATTCAAATGAGTAATTATGTTTTAATTCGTCCCATATCATTTCCGCTTGAGAGATCCTACGGGGTGATAAAACGTCAATAGTCTCCGCATTTGTTGATTAAATTCGTATATTTTGAACTACTTATGGAGGTAAGTTATTAAAATTATGCAGTAATACTGATATGACCGCCGTTATTTTTAATTATAATACTTGACTGTATTACTTTTTTATAAAATATATTAGGAATTAAGAAACCGTCAGGGTGGGACTAGTTTTGGGGGATAATATTAGGCTAATGGCAAATTATTCGGTGTCAAGCTTTGAGACAAGCTAGGAGCTAGGCATGTCGCTTGAAGTGTGGTCAACTACGATACCATACAACGATAATAAAAAATCAGGTATGATTGGATGAATCAGAACGAGTAGCTTGGCCCTTAACACTAAGCGAGTCTCTTTGTTATTATGTAGGTATACTAGAAAAGTAAGTCCATAGAATAGATTTGATTACACTTTATAAAATTAAACGTGAATACGAAATCAGAAATCTTGGTATAACCTTGGATACTAAACCAAGTTTTATATTGACAAAATTGTTTCGAAAGCTTATAAACAATGGTATGATTCTACGTCTTGCTCAACTGTTCAGAAAGAGAGTCATTTGCCTACCTGACTATATAAAAAAAACCCTCGTACATACAAAATCCTTCATTCCTTTGTTCGTAGCATATTGGAGTTTGGCAGTACTACCTGGAACTTTATTTATAATATAAATATAGCTCGTATAGAAAATTTACAAAATAAAATTTTAAAGTCACTAGAATATCGAACTAGATATAATAGATTACCAAACTGCATCCACAAAGGCACAAAATAAGTTCATTAGAAAAAAGTCCAGTCCGAAAAAAGTAGTAGACTCGTCTCCTTTATTAGAACTAATTAAATTGAAATTACCATGAAGCTCGTCACGTTCTTAATGTATATTTTATATTTCACCTTCTCATACTAATTATGCTGGAAATACTTTCATGCTTGCAGCTATTATAATGGTTTCTTGGGATATGTTGATATGTTTTTCCTATCTTTGAATATGTATAAAAAATTCGGGGGACGAACATGTAACGCGGTAGGCGAGGGGTCGCGGAGCATTGGTCTGTTGAATCAGAGAACAGCACCTGTGTTGGTAATTGTTGCTGCAGATTGGTGGTTTGTTCTTTCGTTTATTAATTGCATTATACCTATTAGACCAGGGTCGATAATTTTAAAAATGGTGAAAAGTGAAAAAAAATTATAGAAGAATGAAACCCATTAGAAAAGGTAGAGAATATAACAAAAATGAAAGGAAAAATAAATTACGGGCGATCTGAGGTCGGGAAGGGGGAGGGGGTGAGTTTTTAAGGGTAAAAATGGTTAATCTCGATTTCCGGTAAAACTGCAAGTCCTATGAAAAAAAGTTAAATGGCAAAGTTGTAGGTAATAAAAAGATCTACAACTTTTGTATCGACACTTTTTTCACATAACCTCAAAATTTATGTGAAAAATGCGAATAACCGAGTTTTTGGTTTTTGATTTTTATATTTTGCAAAAAAAAAATATTTTTTCACGAAATTTGGTGAAAACTTACCTTTGTATGTCCCAAACATACAGTAATTTTTTTGATTTAAAATATTCATTTTTTCACCTTATTTTGACTTAATATCGAAAAAGCACCCTTATTTTCAATCGAAAATTCTCACGTCAAAATATCTGCTTTTTTAAAAAAGTTGGGGTGTTTTTTGTTTGTTGAAATCTCTACTTTCTGATGGTATAAAAAAAATATACACTATTATGATAAATGTTCTCAGAAAATGCAAATTAATAATGATTTCAATTCAAGATTTCTGATTTTCATCCTACTATAATTTTTTTTGGTCTCAAAAATTATCGACCCTGGTCTATATAGCATTTGGCTCAAGAGTTTGTACTGAATTTCTTTTCTAAATTATGGCGTTCATTATTATATAAGTTAGTTCATATGTTATGGAACTGTTAGGACAGTTTGATACCATGAAATTGTTCATATGTTATTATGTATGACTGTTTGTTCCTTAATAAATATATAAAAAATTAAAAAAAAGCTATGGCCTTACCCAAGTAGCGTTTGGGTTGGCAATTTTCTTTTTAGAAGCATGCACTATTAAAGAGTACAAAATATTACTTAGGAATATAGCTTACGGTTTCAAAGTTTGACCCTATTCCCATAGTACGTATTGGTATAAGTAATGTTCTTTTTTATAAAAAAAACTACCTAGGTACTTCATTTTCCAAACTAGACAACGATTTCTTCTGTTATTGTTTATTTGACTATGTCATAATACGAATTAGGACGAACTCGCAAATCCGTGTCACCACAGTTTCTGCTCCTATTATATTGTTAGTAATATCAAAATTAGCTTCCTAAACCACATGGGATAATTTCATGAATGGGTTACCTTATCTGACATGGCATAAACCTAGTTTATTACACTCAGGCTGGCTTAAAGATACGTGAAGGGAGCGTACTTGCGACGTCACTTTCTTTAAACAAATAAAGTGCAAATTTGGGACAAACTTTGCCAGGCTGGCAACACTTCTTTCACCACCCGGCGGCGTCAAATTAAAGTGAGCCTGTGCCCTGATCCTGGCCGCCCGAGCTCGACCTACATTTACGCCGTTACTTAAATGGTGGGTAAGGAATATGCATACAAGTAGGTATGGCGTTTATAAACTGTACTTACATAATAGAAACATCTTTTTAATTTTTGTCTCTTGTTACTGCAGTAAAATAGACGTATCTACTTAGGTATCTAGTCAACATTTCAATTTTTTTTTCGAATAGTGACTTAAATATGCTGAACCAGCTATTTGCCCCGTCTAGACTCCAGCATCACTTAATGTCACATTTGCTATGATCAATTTAAGTACCAAACTGGAAATAACTTTTGATACGTATACTCAGCCCATAAACATCAACGTTATAAAGTATTTTGATAAATAAAGAAAACTAATATTTCAACATCAATCTGTCTTTATTAAACTTTACTGTAACTAATTCTTTATACTACAAGATAAAGATTCACAATAATTATGTACAAAATATGTTTAGTACGCACTATCAAAAATGCGTATAGTAAAATAGTTTAGTTAACCATCATCAATTAATGACAGAATCAAACGAATAAACAATACAATGAGAATTTAGGCACTGCACGTTTTTCAACATCATATCACATTCATGGGCTCTATACAACGTACACCACATTTATTATTCAATTATTCTAGTAAGCGTTTCCGTTCTTATAACAATTTATTATCAAAGATAATTCTGATTTCCATTTCTCTTAAACAGTATTATATTCAAGAAGACTAATACATAATAATGTTCTACCAACCAGATACGTTATCATGAAATACTAATGATACTTCCTGTTACTTAGGAGCGGTTGAAGAATTGCTGTTTCTTATATTGATTCGAGAAATCCCAAAAGATGTAACTATTACACTAATTGAACGATTCAATGTTGTTTCATTCTGCATAACGAAATACTTTTCAAGTACCTAGTAACATTATGGAGAGTAGCAATCTATAATGGAATGTTAATATTCGATGATGATATTTTCACAGGAACACCTCTATTTGGCAATTGGGCATACATTCTCAAAAACATTGACTATGCCAACAAGAAAATATACTTTCGTTACAGCTTTATTAATCACTATGTCAGTTTTTTAAACTATTCCAAGTCATAAATCGATATAATACAAGAAGAATCTATGATTCTGATCGACATTAAAAATAGATTCGAAGATATTAATAGTTATTGACTTTTCTTTCACCATAAAAGAATGAATAAGTTAATACAAAATTCATTAAAATGCTTAGTTAACGGTTAATTAGTTAACCAACTGTTATTATATATCTAATCATATAAATTAAGTATGGTGTATGAAAAACATTAACAATAATACTACTGATGGCCGCTTGCACCCAACTTAGGAGCTTGCTAGCTAGCTTGTGAATATGGAGCGCGTTCACTTGCGGAATAATTCAAATATTTCTCAAAAAAAGACAATGATAAATCTATACAAGTAACTATTACAAAGACAAACATTTAGGTTAGTGCAAACGGACATACATTAGTAATTCATTTGCTGAAGAAAGGTGACAAAATAAAAGCGATTTATCTGTATCTTACTTAGAATTCACTTGGACCGATCATATTAATAGTTTTGATACAAAACACACGCACAACATATGAAAGACGATGCTACAATTAAAAATTATTTAAAGAATTTGTTTTGTGTTTGTCTGGAGAAAATTTATGCATTGTTTGTTTTGAATGCTGCAGTTATTTTTAATTTTATTCTGCATCGTCCTGTATATAGAAATTAAATACCAAAGCCGTGATTTTTACAGATATCTTTATAATAACAGTTATTCGGCCACTTCATTCGTATACTTTTACATGTATATGAATTTTCAGATTTAGAAAAAATATTTCTAAAGTAAGGCTGGATACGTAAAGGTACTAAATGTAAGTACATTATAATAACAAGGTGTTAGATAAACTAGAATATTTTTTGGATATCTACTTAATATTGACGTATCTTATAAATGGATAAAATGTGGAATCAATATTTATAATGTTATAAAAAAAACATTTAGTGTTATAGATAGCTCACGGTAAGTTTTTTCAGAACATTCTGTGTTAGGTTGTTCTGAACATCCTGTGGTAGTTAATAGGTAGATGAGACCGACGACGCGAGAATTTTGTACCCTGTTTGTGTTATTTAAATTTTGCGACTGCCGTAGTAATGGCGTTTTAAGTTAAACTTCTTGAGCTACTACCATTGACAAGGAACACTAAGTAGCAATTTTATATCAATAAC